TGACTTATAGGTGTTCTATAGCAGATAAATCTCCAGAAAAATAATTTTGGCAATTCATAAAAATCATTTGCCAGGTTAGCATCTAAACTATAGGCATAAAACATGCTTAATATTTTAGGTTTCTAAAAATTTTAATCATTGTAGACATGTGATCATTTTTTTTTTTCATTTTTCTTCATAAAACATACCATGTAATTTTCTCTTTAGAAAGCTAATTGTTTGTGTAAATATGTTGCCTAAGGGAGCACTTTGGAGGCATTCATTACAGAAATTACCTGTGATGAAACATAACCACCAGTTTTATGGTCAAGTTAAAGCAATTTTCTACCATATCAATTCTACATTTGCCTTTTTCTTTCTGAAACACTTGGAAGAAGCACTGGACTTGAACCCAATACCTCTGACTTTCAGTCTTGTTTTATATTTATATTTGGTTACTTATGATTGTAAAGGAACACTGTATTGTACATACGGATAGTTGGCCATAGATGCCCATTTGATGATCTTATGAACATCAGAAAAGAAGCACTTACTAATTAAATATAACTATTTTTATTTATTGGAAGAATACTTTAAATAGAGTGGTTCAAATAAAGGAACACATTTTTTAATGTGGCTATACCACATATTGGAGTTCTGGTATGGCACTGTGGATTAATGCACTGGACTGCAAAGGTGGTTTGAGCCACAAAATCAACAGTTCAAGCTCACCCGTCACTCTTCAGAAACCCTATACAGGGTCGTTATGGGTCGGAACCAACTCAACGGCACTGAACAACAACAAAATGCCACCTGTTGGGAGTGCTGTGGCTCTGTCTGATAAACAGTGAATTGCAAACCACAAGGCTGGAGGTTTGAGCCCACCAGCCTCTCCAAGACTTTCTGCTCCTGCAAAGATTTGTGTTGTTGTTGTTGTTAAGTGCCGTCGAGTCGGTTCCGACACATAGCGACCCTGTAAAGGGTTTCCGAGGGTGTAAATCCTTACGGGAGTAGAAAGCCTCATCTTTCTCCCGCAGAGCGGCTGGTAGTTTCGAACCGCTGACCTTAAGGTTCACAGCCCGATTCGTAACCACTACGCTACCAGAGCTTCTTTACAGCCTCAGAAACCTTATACAAGATCATTATGAATAGGAACAGACTCAATGGCACTTAACAACCACAACAACAATATCACATATTTGAAGTTTGAACATTGAACTGTTTAACTGACAAAGTACAGATCTTGCCTTCCTTCTGTTTGTAAGCAAACACCGCAACAGAAATATTAGGTAAGAAAGTGATTCAAATGATAGACTCAAATCATAGCATGTCTAAGGAAACATTTGGTAAGTTCTTGTTTAAGAAATTTCAGATTCTTTGACTCTTAAAGTTTACTTAAAAATGTCCCGGATTGTTTAGGGAATTTAGTCTAAAGCAATTATTTGATTAATGAAAAAACAACATTTTAACTGTAAACACTGAACTACTAAACTGATAGCTGCTTAAATACGGATTTATTTAACTATGTTTAGATATGGGTTGGAGTCCTGGTGTGACATTGCCAGTTAATGAATTGGACTGTAAAGTAAGTTTGAACCACAAGGTTATCTGTTCAAGCTCACCAGTCGCTCCTTGGAAACCCTATACAGGGTCGCTATGGGTCGGAACCGACTCAACAGTGGGTTAGATCAGATGCACCTTATCTGTTGTGGCACTTCACAACAATAACAACAACCAAAAATATGGGTTACACATTGGGCTGCTAACTGCAAGGTCAGAAGTTAGAGTCTACCAGCCATCCCTCAGGATGAGGCTTTCTGTTCTAGTAAAGGTTTACAGCCTCAGAAATCCTATACAGGGTTGCTATGAGTTGGAACTGGCTCCATGACATACCACCACCACCAAATAGTTTATCTTACCTATAAACATAGTTCTAACATGAGTTTAGCAGTTGTGTGGATCACAACAAACTATAGATAACATTTTCAAGAATTGGAATTCCAGAACACTTCATTGTGCTCATGAGGAACCTGTACGTATTGAACTGCCAAGAGGCAATTGAAACAGAACAAGGATACACTGAATGGCTTAAAACCAGGAAGGCTTTATGTCAAGACTATATCCTTTCACAGTATTTAATCAATCTGGCTGCTGAGCAAATACTCCAAAAAGCTGGATTATATGAAGAAGAACATGGCATCAGGATTGGAGGAAGATTTGTCAACAACCTGTGATATGTAGATGATACAACTTTGCTTCCTGTAAGGGAAGAGTACTTGAAACACTTACTGATAAAGATCAAAGACTACTGCCTTCAGTATAGATTACAATTCAGTGTAAAGAAAACAAAAATCCTTACAATTGGACCAATAGATAGCATAATGATAAATGAAGAAAAGATTGAAGTTGTCAAAGATTTCATTTTACTTGGATCCCCAATCAATACTCATGAAAGCAGCAGTCAAGAAATCAAGTGACTTATTGTGTTAGGCAAATCTGCTGCAAAAGACCTCTTTACAGTGTTGAAGAGCAAAGATGTCACTTTGAGAACTAAGGTGCATCTGATCTAACCCATGGTATTTTTAATCTCCTCATGCATGCAAAAGCTGGACAATGAATACAGAAGACTAGAGAAAAATTGTTGTTGTTGTTATATGCCATAGAGTCAGTTCTGACTCATAGCAACCCTGTACAGGGTTTCCTAGGCTGTAAATCTTTACGGGAGCAGAAAGCCTCATCTTTCTCCCATGGAACAACTGGTAGTTTCAAACTGTTGACTCTGAGGTAAGCAGCCTGATTCATAACCACTACACTACCAGAGAAGAATAGAGGCATTTGAATAATGGTGTTGGTGAAAAATATTGAATATACCATGGTCTGCTAGAAGCATCGACAAATCTGTTTTGGTAGTAGTATGGCTGGAATTCTCTGTGGAAGCCACAATGGCAAAACTTTGTCTCTCATACTTTGGACATGTTTCCAAGAAGCACAAGTCTCTAGAAAAGGACAGGATGCTTGATAAAAGTATTGGATCCATGGGAAAGAGGACAGTCTTTAATGGGCTAGATAGTCACAGTGGATGCAGTAATAGGATCAAACACATCAACGATTGTGAGACTGGCTCAGGACTGGTCAGTGTTTTGTTTTGTTGTACATAAGGTCATAACCAACTGGATGGTACCTAACAACAACAAAACATGGGTTTTGGTCTTACTTTCAGATCTACTCTTTTCATTTTATTTCTAATGATTCTGACTTAGTACTATATTCTCATACACATTGTAAGTTAGATGAAATTGTATTGAAGCATGTTTAAAATTATTGTACTTGTAAAGGACTAATCTTCAGTTTTCCCACCCTAACTTCATTTCCTGACATTCCACCACTATACATCTTTTTGATGTCAATAACTGAGAACATCTATACTCATTTAAGTTGCATTCAGCAAGAATATGAAGTAGTTGAGGATTTAAAAAGTAACTCGATTTTAACTTTGTCCAATTTTCTCCCTGTTTTCTTTTGTGTTTTATATTTATTTTATTTCTGCTGGGTATAGTTTTTTTTTGTGGGAGGGTGGGCGGTCAGAACATTCCATTGTTTTCAATCCAACCCTCTTGAATACCTCAAAGTAAAGACTTTACAAATATTAATTAATCTTGTGGCAAAGTCCTTGAACTGTCACACATTTCATTATTAAATGAATTCCTTGACTTAAAATTAAAGGAGATATTTGTTGTCATCGGTTTTAAGTACCAAAAGTTGGTTCTGATTCATAGTGACCCTGCATAGGGTTTCCAAGGCTGTGAATCTTTGTGGCAGCAAAAAGCCCTATCTTTCTTCCATGGAGTGACTGCTAGGATTAAACTGCCAACCTTGTGGTTTGCAGTCTAGTGCTTATAATATGGAGCCACCTTGCTCCCAAAACTGATAGTTGTAGAAGAGGGGGAAAAAAATAAAAGGGAAGATTGCCTTTGTTCTAGATTGAAGAAGAATTTCCAAGTCCTCAACTTTCCTTGACATATGACAAGAAAATCTATTTTAAATTGACTTCTTCCAGTTGTTTCCACGGAAATTTCATGAGTGATGTTTAGGATTTTCTAGGTTCTGATTTAATAAAGGTTAATGATGATGATGATGATGATAATAATAATAAAGAGAATCTCAGCCAGTTGGGATGGCTGTCAAAAGTCCTAGCTCCAATTTTGGAGGGTATTAATTTTCATAGAAAGTTAATAGTTTTTCCTGTAGAAAACCGATGCATAATATACTTTCTGAAATATATGCACTTATATGGAAATCTGTTGTTATAACTGGAACATCTTCATGTTCATTATCTCTCATTTAGAAAAGTAATTAGAGCTACAAGGCACTGCTTTTATAAGAACATAAGAATAATAGATAAGAATTGTGACTTGTTTGATAAATATAAAAAAAATTGAAGCTTTGGAGAAGAATTCATGAATTATTTTATTGTCAAAAATTATATTGATCTCATGTGTAAGCATACGAGTTGGAAAACTTGTCAACAGATGAAGAATTTTCCTATTTGTACAGAAAGTAAGAAAAAAGTCTTAAAGGTAATTTAGGAAAAATATAAATGAGTCATATTTGAATTATTTATGTACATGTCATTTTAATAAATGATGGAGGTAATTGAATTATAAAAATGCCATGATTATGTGCCTATGATTACATTTTTTCTTTCCTAAATCACATAGAAATTAATGTTGATACAAGAAATGTTCCTTTTGTGTTATTTAAATATCCTTTCATCTTTGCAACCTAAAGACTATTTCATAATATCCTACTTAGTTAAATAATACTAGACCCCAAACTACATATTTTCAAACAGTGAATTTCAAGTCCCAAGTGGATTCATTGGCTGACCATTCTCTTTAAAACGCGTCCTTTGTTATTTATGAATATGTCTGTTGTGATTGCTCAGACTGCTAAGAAACCTAGTGAAAGGCAAGAGCTAGAGGTCTGCACTTCTTTTTTTCCCTTAACTATTTCTTTCTCAGATATTGACCAGTGGAATAAAGTAATTGAACAATTAGGAACACCATGCCCAGAATTTATGAAGAAATTGCAACCCACGGTGAGAAACTATGTTGAAAATCGGCCCAAGTATGCAGGACTCACCTTCCCCAAGCTCTTTCCAGATTCCCTCTTCCCAGCGGACTCTGAGCACAATAAACTCAAAGGTATGCTTGTCAGAGGCAACTTGTAATCACCTCGTGGGTGATGGGTAAATAAGCTATATAGAGACTTGTCTTTAACTTACTCTGCTTTTAGTTAAGGAAAGGTATTGCTTCAAGTTCTTCCTTAAAAGAGGCTTGGTCACAGATTTTAGAATTGTTGAACTCTGCAACCCATGGGTTTAAGTCTGCAACACATGGTGTTGCCATTGGTTGGAACTTACTCATCAGGAACTAGTTTGTGTTTTGTTTGGTATTTAGGGTTGAAAATATTTTGAAGTGTAATTCTAAAAGACTAATTGACTTGACGGCACTAAACAACAACAACAATGTGCTATATATTGGCATTGTTTCAATCACTTTTTTTACCTAAAAAAAAAAAAAAAATTTCCCTCACAAGTTTTAAATTATAAAATGTAGGAGATTCCATTTGCATTTTCTTTGTTTGTATTTTATCAAGTGTTTACCCACTATCCTTTCAATTTAGAGTGGTAAATGGAATTTAATGACTACATTTTACTTCAATATAAATACTTTTACTAACAAGGTATTATTTCTACTACTATACCTACAGTAATGAATTTGAGTAACAAATTTGAGTTTTTCAACCACAAAGCTAACATAATAGTAATATAATACCTCAGTTACTGAGTTGGAAACAAAGAATGCATTTGGCAAAAATTTTATAAAAGTATAATATAAATAATAATATTCTAATTCTATTATTGAGTCCTAGTGTGGCACTGTGGGCTAATGATTTGGACTGCAAAGTCGTTTGAACTGCAAGGTGTGTTTCAGGCTCATCAGCTGCTCCTTAAAGACCCTATACAGGGTCGCTATGGTTTGGAACCGACCTGATGGCACTTAACAACAACAACAAATTTATTATTATTTAAGGCCTTCCTGAGAAGCTCATTTGGAAACAAATATGATATTTCTCCCTGCCTGGATTTTAATACTGTCTCTATTCCTTAGCATTTGTATGATTTGGACAACTTATCTGACTTTTCTGTTCCTTCAATTACAAATGAAGATAGAGAATGGCTATATTATAATGCTATTGGAAGAATTCATTGACTGACTGATTTATCATACACTTAGAACAGACTGACTCATACTGA